CAGCTCAGAGGAGGGGGCATGAGTGGCTGACAGGCAGGTGGCATTCGGGGCTAACCCCCAGTAAGACTGGCAGGTGGTAAGAAGGTGACTTGCAGCCCTGGGTGGGTGCCCTGAGATGCATCCCATGTAGTGATTTGGTTTTTGTACTTTAAATAGATGCTCGCGCACACCACACATACGTGGTGGAGATATTCATGTGATAAAGTGTAGAACCCTGTGATAAAAAATGCATAGCATAGCTCTGCAGCTTATCTGTAATGTACCCTGCACTTCCCCACCTGCCCTCTGCCCACTAAACCAGAGCCTCACAGAAAAAGTTTCCTTTTTCCCTCTCACCTTCACTTCCATTCATCTGCCCGAGGCTGGCCAGTCCTCAATGACCTGAACCAGAGCCAGGCAAAATCAAGGGCCAGCTCTGATGATCCATCTCTTACCCCCTGTTCTCAGCCTGCTATTGGATTGTGCCCCTTAACAATAGCCCTTGTTCTTGTGTCCAAGGGTTTGGCCAGAGAGCAGAGCCGTAACTAGGCATTTTAGCACCGTCTACTGCAGCGGTGGGGAATCTACAGCCCGGGGGCCAGATGTGGCCCCCGGCTTTCCTGGATGTGGACACTGAGGCTCAGGGTTCCCCCCCCCCAAAGCACTGTGGAGCCCTGCACTGGCGTTCCAGCCCCCAGGCTCTGGTGTGTGAGGGGACCATGGGGAGTCTCTTTCTCCTTCTTGGTCAGGGGACACATCAGTGAGGTGGTTTTTTTTTTAAACCTTCCCGCTTGTGTGCAGCCTCTTGACTGATTTTTCTGTGGGTCAGTGGCTTCTGACCCAAAAAAGGTTCCTCACTCCTGGTTTAGGGTAAGAATTTGCATGTAACAAGCTTCTTAGTGGATTAAGAGTAGCGGGTATTTTTTATTTATTTTGGCTTAGTAACTCATTTTGATCTGTTTAAACTTGCAGCCACTTAAATCCTACTTTATAAAAAATCTGCCCTTCGCTTTCTGCCACTTGTTTATTATCAAGTGTAAATAATTGTTAGCTGGGGGGAGCAACCTCTGTTCAGATCTCCCTTTCATTGATAAAGAGAGTTGACCGTATCAACTTTCTCTACGTAAAACTTTCACACGCTGTAAAACAGATTTATTTGGAGTTTCAGTTCCTTTTGGGGGTTGGTTTCCGGGGTGTGGAGCCCTTAGAGCTGAGTCCTCCTGGAGGTGAACTCATTGTGTCTGTGTTGCTCTGCAGCAGGGGTGAGCGGCCGGAACTGGAACTCTGCACGCACAACAGGACAGGGTTGTAGGAAGTCCCAGAGAGCAAGACAGTGGGTGTCAGTGGCATGATCAGCATACAACCCCACTGAGAGTTTTGTCTCAATACTTTGCCCTTCTCTAGCTCTTCTATCACTTTACAAACATTGCTTAATTATGCCTCCCAACATCTTGGTAATCAATATGTGGAACAATTCAACCCGCAAAATCCTACAGGCATTTCTGCTTACAGATGCAACGAATTCGGGAAAGAAGTGGTTGATGTGCCTGATCTGTGGCTCAGCAAAAGAGTTAAACTGACAGTGCGAAGATGTTCTGTCAAACAGCCTGCATGGAACACATGGCATCTAAAATTTAATGGATTCATCTGCTAGTACAGGGTCACCATGACCGCTATGCCTGCCAGAAAGTCCCTGTACTGAAACATCTCACTACATCCATTAATAGGATTCCTTCTTTTTTTGTTTTGCTCCTCCTGACACACAAATAATCAGCCTGCAACACTACCCTGTCTTCGCATTGATTATGTCTCACTTTGTGGTGTGGCATCCGTATCTCGTAACGTCATGTCATATTGGTCTGAAAGTGTCAGTGCGAAAATTCACGAGTGCTTTGTAATGAGGTGCTTGTGACGCAAAGTCCAAACAACCCAGGACCTGAAATGATCCCAGGGCGACTGCGGGACAGGACGGCCGGGAGGCTGGGATAGAAATGTAGCCGTGTTAGTCTGGGGTAGTTGAAGCAAAATGCAGGACAATGTAGCACTTTAAAGACTAACAAGATGGTTTATTAGATGATGAGCTTTCGTGGGCCAGACCCACTTCCTCAGATCAAATAGTGGAAGAAAGTAGTCACAACCATATATACCAAAGGATACAATTAAAAAAAATGAACAAATATGAAAAGGACAAATCACATTGCAGAACAGAAGGAGGATGCGGGGGGGTGGGAAGGGGGAGGAAGGAAGGTAAGTGTCTGTGAATTGCTGATATTAAAGGTAGGGAGAGTGGGATGTTTGTGAGTTAATGGTATTACAGGTGATAATTGGGGAAACTGTCTTGGTAATGGGTAAGAAAGTTCAAAGTCTTGTTAAGTCCTTGTTGGCAAGTGTCGAATTTTAACATGAATGACAGTTCAGAGGATTCCCTTTCAAGTGCAGATGTAAAAGGTCTTTGTAGCAGAATGCAGGTGGCTAAGTCATTTAGAGAGTGTCCTTTCTGGTTAAAGTGGCAAGAAACTGTTTTCTCTTTGTGATCTTGTCTGATATCTGTTTTGTGGGCATTAATCCTTTGGCGAAGTGTCTGAGATGTTTGTCCAATGTACATAGCAGACGGACACTTTCGGCACATGATAGCATAGATTATATTTCTGGATGCGCAGGAATATGTGTTCTTGATCTTATAACTCACTTGGTTAGGTCCAATAATGGTTTCAGCAGAATGAATATGTGGACAAAGCTGGCAACGGGGTTTGTTGCAAGGGAAGGTACCAGGGTTGGTATTAGTGTGGTATGTCCTGTGGTGGTTGGTAAGAATCATCTTGAGGTTAGGTGGTTGTCTATAGGAGACTATGGGTCTGTCTCCCAGAGCCTCTTGGAGTATGGTATCCTGTTCCAGTATAGGCTGTAGTTTATTGATAATGTGTTGGACAGGTTTAAGTTGGGGGTTGTAGGTGATGACAAGTGGTGTTCTATTGTTGGTTTTCTTGGGTCTGTCTTGTAGTAGATGGTTTCTAGGTATTCGTCTGGCTCTTTCAATTTGCTTTTTTATTTCTCCGGGTGGGTAGTTGAGATTTATAAATGCTTGGTAGAGATCCTGAAGCTTCTGGTCTCTGTCAGTGGGATTAGAGCAGATGCGGGAGGGTGGGACTGTGCAGAGCGTTTGTTCGTCACGAGTCTCAAGCCAGACCAGGCCAGGAGTGACTGGAGTTCCCGGCTCCACGGCCTAGGCCTGGCAGGAGTCGCGGGGCTTTGCACGTCGCACAGGACCCCTGGTTCGCCCTTGTGGGGAGGGGCCGGGCTGCCGGGTGTCCGGTGTTTTCTGGTTTTACGGGGCAGGAGGCGGGTCCCTACGGGCACTGGCAGCGCGGGGCCTGGGCAGGCTGGAGCAGCGTGGGGGGGCCGGGCCAAGGCGCCCAGAGAGCCTGGCTCCTGGGCCTGCTCCCTGCCTTGGGGTGGGGGGCAGGGTGCGGC